ATCCAAACCTTCATTTTCTAGTGCTTTTTTAAGTCGTTCTGCCAGCTCTGATTTCTTCCCTGCCGTCTCCAGTTCACGTTCTTCTAATTCTCAACGTAGCTCAGGCACTTTTAAATCACACAGTCTTTTAGCCATTATTGTCCACTATTTATTTATAGCTCCACTTCTAACACCAATGTGACGAAAGTCTAATTTATTTAAAGTTTATTTATTTAAAAACACTATTTACAATTTATTTCAGACGTACTATTTAATTTATATAATATTTGAACACTAACTAACAATTCTAATTTATTTCTTACACTTTTACTTTTCAACGTTCTATATAAAACTAAACTCGGCGCTGATACGTCAACTATTTTGAAGTCTGTATTTGGTTATTTGATCCAAACAAGGATAGTAAATTAAAAGTCCACAATTTAGGAAGGACAATACAAGACTTTTACAGAGCAACTTACGTAATTTGAAACTCAAAATACTTCGATTCCTGTATAATTGACGAATAACCAGATACGATTTTTTGACTAGAAGCGAAACAGTCCTGAAACCTTAGTTTGCAGTTATAGATAATGCCTAAGTTTTTGGCACTTCTACATGATTTTAGAGGTTCGTTTTGAATGAATACCTTAAGGTTCCGTTGCACATTATGTTCTATATTTGTAGGACAAAATAATATTGTATGAAATATATATACTGCATTTAGATCTGAATTCATGTTTTGTGAGGCTATATCTACTTCACATTGGTCAAAGGAATAATATAGTTGCGTGTCGTCAGCAAAAGAGTATATTTACATGCTCCAATAATTTATAAAGGTCTGAAATATATGTGAAAAACAAAATAGGACCAAGGCCAGAGCCTTGGGGTACTCCTGATGTTACACACATAAAGTTAGATGATTTCTCTAACGTTACTTTTTGGTAGTGGTTACTTAAATAAAATTTGAAAAATCTTATTGCAGTTTCATCGAATCCAAAATATTTGAGTTTGGTACAATGAAACTGATGATATATAGTGTCAAACGCTTTTGAAAAGTCAAGCAGGGTGACTGCTGTAGCTTTTCCTTCGATCTTATAATGTTATCTGTTAAAGTTAAGAGTAATGTTGTTGTACTGAACCCCTTTCAAAAACCTGATTGTTTAGTGGTTACTAATTACTTTTTCTATAATTTTGGACAACGTCGGTAAAACACTTATGGGCCAAAGGTCGCTAAATGTTTCAGGTTTATTAAGGTATACTTCCTAGTACCTAGGTGGCCGCTATTTGTTTTTGTTGATGTAGGTGCATAGGGGGTTCATGGGGAGTAAGTTATGTATTTTGTCATTTAAGTTCCCCTTATACTAGAACCGGCTTTAGGCCTTTGGTGATATCATCATCTTTAGTTTATGAGATCCATTATAAGTTTTTTTATTTATTATTAGGATATTCCATTTTTATAATACGCAAGAAGCTTCTCTTCAATGGCAGACGGTTGACTTAAGTTTTATATTTAATGAAATTAGTAGGTATCCAAATTATTTCTATATTCAATAATATGGGGAGGTACTACTTTCACCAAAGTCAATCTACAGAGAAGATACTGAGAATCCAAAATAAATAAGAAATTACGCCGGCCATATCTACGGAACAATTTATTCATCTGTTATTTTTTTAACAAAAATCATTCTTATTTATTTATTTATTTATCAATACAAGTTTAATAAAAGGGAAAATTTAAAACCTAACCTACACTTAGAGAATGTTGAAACGAAGAAACACAAATTACCATAAAATTAACATAAATATAAACAAGAAAAAATTAAATATTAATATTAGAAATAGTTAGAAATTATTTTGAAGTTCCAAACTTCACAGCTAGAGAGTGCAATGATAAAACTTGTTAAAAAAAGTAAAATTATGTTATGTCAAACGTTCAACTAGGCAACTGCGAACATTTCATATACCTTTTTATAGATCAAACCAAGCTTTTAACAGCTGCATTTCAAGAATGCTTAGATTAGCTAACTTGCACAATGATCTCAGACTGTTCAATATTTTCTTTTCTTCATTCAAAACTCAATTACTTAATACTGAGCTTTAATGCTAATTTTTTACTGTGTATTTTCTCTTTTTTTAACTTTCGACTAACCATTTTGTTATTTTAAATGTTCCTAGTTTATATGACATATTCTTTGTTTATGCTACAGCACCATTAATATTTGTACCGGAGTCCTTTCTCATCTGTACATTCGGTACTTTTAGAAAATAATGAATATCTGCTAAAATAATAAATAAGATTAAAAAATAATTAGCGAGTAAATTAATTGATATTAAATATTTCTGATTAAGACTGATTAGCCCGTGGGTGTTTTCAATACAGCAGCAGAATGATGATCGGTTCACTAACATAATCGGTTCTCTCGCTCCGATTTAGAGATGGAATGATTTAGGTTTTACCTTCTTAGCAAATACGCTAGTTGAGGATGCGGTTCTAACCTATCTAATATTTGATTAATATAAAAGATAATATAAGTGCACCAGTAATTAATACTATTGGAAACAACATTAATAACTTTTTAAGCATGTAGTATTTTTTTTCCTGAGATAATTATTATAAAAAAAAATAGAAAATTAGTATATTGTATAGTATAGTATAGTTCTTATTTTTCAAATTCATGATCAGCCCATTTAAGAAGTACAATATCTGCCACCAGGCATCTATTTTTGCCATTAGAACTTTATAATATGTTTAAAAACTGTGAAGTTATTCCCAGATTGGTGTATTAAATTTATTTTTAATAATTAGTTGTTCATCCTTAGTTTTGATCAAAAAATATGGGCCATCGTTAAAGTTAGGCATAATAATAACTATAGGTGGAATGCAAATTTATTGGAATTAAAAAATAATGTGTCATTATATAATACTCTTGCTAAGCACGATCGACGAAATGTTGAAATTAGTAAAATGTTAAATAATACTTATAAGCTTAGGTTAGAACAGGCCTCTAAGCAATACTATGATAATTTCATTTTAAGCTCTGAAAATAAGACTAAAGCTACCTGGGAAGTGATTGGACAATTGCAAAAAGGGAACAACAAATCAAATAACCAACTTATATTATATGATCAGGGTAACCAGATAAGTGATTCTGACTTGGCAAATAAATTTAATATTAATTTCACTAACCCCCCCCCCCCCCCATAGAAGCTTAGTTTGTGACGTAGAATGTATAGAATTTTTAAATAAAAATATTACATCTAATAATAAAACATTTTATATGGCTCCTGTTTCAGATGAGGATGTTTTAAAATTAATACAGTCTTTAAAAAACAGTTGGCACTGATGGCTTAGATAATAAGTTAATTAAAAAGTGTGTTGCTCTAATGACTAAACCATTGAGTTTTTTGTTGAATTTATCAACTGAGAAAGGTATTTTTCCAGATTCTTTAAAACAAGCTAAAGTAGTTCCCATTTACAAAAAGGAAGATCCGAATGATATTAATAACTATAGACCAATAAGTATCTTGTCAACTTTTTCCAAAGTATATAAGTTGAATATCAAAAATCAATTATGTAATTTTTTCACTAAGTTTAAGCTGTTATCGCCATCACAACATGGTTATACTTCAAAAAAGAGTACAGACACTGCATTGATAGAGTTCCATACTAAAATCGTAAGATCTCTTGATAGTAAGAAGCATGTAATGGGTTTATTTATCGATTTTTCTAGAGCTTTTGACTGTGTGGACCATAAACTTCTGCTTAAGCTGTCTAAATATGGGGTAAGAGGTATACGACTTGACTTATTGGAATCATATTTATCAAATAGAAGACAAATTGTTCAAGTGAATAATGTTCCTAGTTTGGAGCTGGAAGTTTCACAAGGGGTTTCCCAAGGATCGATTTTGGGTCCATTTTTATTTTTAGTTTTTGCCAACTACCTAATCACTTCCTTGAATGCTATTCCTGGAATATACCCCACTTGTTATGCTGACACAGATATTTTATTTATCGAAAATAATGCAGATGCAACAGAGAAAACATATAATCAAGTTTTATCGTGGTCGGAAAAAAATAACATAAAATTAAACAAAACTAATTATAATGTTATTAAATAATAATGGACAATTTATACAAAACCAATTATTTGAAAACACTAATAATCCAATTATATCTGAAGAAAATATTAAAATATTAGGAATCATTATTGATTATGGCATAACCTGGAATTCACATATTGATAACCTGTGTAATAAATTACGAAAAAGTTGCTATAGTCTTAGATTTCTTGCCAATCATTGTAGTAAAAGTACACTCTTAACAGTGTATCATGCAAATTTTCACTTTCATTTGAAATATGGCATACTTAATTGGGGTACCTGTTCTACCAAGCAAAGAGTTTTTGTTCTTCAAAAATATGCCATAAGAATTTTTTAAAAAATTTAAAATTTTGGCACTGGTTGGGGAATATATATTAGAAGCATGTACTTTCATTCATAAGAACAGATCAATATATGTTACCGAGCGTGCTTCTCATGAGTATAACACAAGTAACAAAAGCCAATTATTAATACCTAGACACCGTACGGCACTTTTTGAAAAGAATTATAGTATATGGGTTGTAAATTTTATAATATCCTTCCAGAGTGCATAAAGAACAGTAATCTCTTCACTTTTAAGTCTAATGTAAAAAAAAAACTTTTGTTAGAGAAAAACTGCTATTCCAAAGAGGAATATTTTATATAATAATTCATGTTTTTGTTAGGTATGTTTTTTTTTTCTAAAATTTTTTAGGTATATAATTTTATAATTACCATGACATGTTTCACGATAAACGTTGTATAATTTTTTTGTACAATTTTCTTATGAGGTGAAATAAATAAATAAAAAAAAAATATTTTAAGTCTTAAAGTCATGACTGATCTTATTGGTCGGTTTTCGTTTTAGCTGGACGTTACTGATATGACTGCTTACTTAATGTACCCACAAGCTTTTAAATGTTCAAATTATTTTTTTTTAGTAATCTATTTGAGGTTCTTGTTAAATTTCACGGGTCTCCTCACATAAGTAGTGCTAACCTTCTGGCGTGCATCGGAGTTTTGTCCAATATAGCCAAAAGTAGAGCGGAATTTATGGAAAGGGTTGTAAACGCTTTGGAATCTTTGTTTGCCAATCTACCTCCCACACTTACAACTACTCAAGTCAGTTCAGTGAAGAAAAAATTAAAAACCGAACTCATGGGGCTTTTAAAGCATCCAGGATCTTACGATTACGTAAGCAACATTAGTTGTATTTTGTTGGATTTAGGTAAGTTTAAAACAATTTGAAAATGTTGTTTTATTTCTAAGAAAAAAATCTTATTGTTTAGGTTGTTCGCAATCTGAGATCAATAAAATGATTCCAAAAGCCGACGAGAGGCGGAAGTACAATAAAAGAATGCTGTCAGCGGAATCATTAGTTGTTCAACAAAACATAAAAAGAGCTCGATTAGAAGATCCGTCGCATAATGACGTTGAAGAGACGTTTGATCCTCTTCTAACGCCTCAAGAGGTCAATGAGCAATTTATTTTGGATAATTTGACATTAGAGAAGGCCGTTTATCTCATTGTAACTAGCATTCCGAAGCTGCCACTACAGGTGAGTCCAACATTCCATCTAGCAAATAACCTAAAAATTGTATGCTTAATTTAAAATAAATTGAATCTTTGCATACGACGAATTCAAGTAAAGCGTTTCAAAATTGTTATTTTAGCCGCCATCCGAATTTATAAGAGATTACGCGGATTATGTAAATTCCGGGAATATCGGAAGGATACATCTGGCAAACGCTTTGGCAAAACAATTCACTGAAGCCAACATAGGGCCTGGAAAGAATGTAAAACAAAAAACTCCTACCGAGTCCAAAAAGCGAGCCAGAGAAGAGGAGGCTAAGGAAGACAAAGAAAAGGTAGGATAGAAGACAAAAAATGTTTAGATTTTTTTGTAATTTTCACTTTTAAATGTAAATGGTGATTCATTATGGCTTATACGCTCTCTATAAGTTATAATTAAGAGTGGCTACACATAGGTGCCGATTCTCATATCTCTGTTACTAATAAAGCTTGGTCAGTGTGTCTTAGATAACATAAGACACCGCTCATGCATCCACCTTCCCAGCTTCACATTTATTTAATTTGTAACGTTTCTATATGATTTTTAAACATTAATTTATTGTCAAATATCACTCCTAAATCTTTAACCTCATTAACTTCGTTCAAAAAAAAAATATTAACAGTATAATTCTGAATATTTTAAGATCGTCAGCAAATATCAGACACTGACTATTTTGAGTTACTTTAACAATTAAATCATTAATAAACAAATTAAAGAGTAGTGGGCCTAGGTGAGAACCTTGATGATAACCCGAGGTTACTAATACATACGTTGATATGCAGTTCCCGTATTTAACAAATTTACACCTTTGGTAAGGAAGCTGTGAATCTATTTGAGCATTGTATTGTTGAAGCCATAACTATGCAGTTTAGCCATCAGCAACTCATGACCCAGTCGAAGGTTTTACAAAAGATGTATATATGTAATCCATTGCTTTTAAGAAAAAGTTTTTATACTATAAAAGGCATTTGTAATACATTGTCTATTAAATCGGACACCTGTGTAAAATAACTATTTGAGTCGATGCACAAAATAACATTATTTTTAGTGATTTTAAGCAGGCACATTGTTTGTTTCACGGATCTATTGACGTGTTAACCTCTCTTTTTAGCTACAGCCTTTCGCGAAAACCTCTCGCTCACTCAAAATAGTGCACACAGAGACGCGATTAGCCAGAGCGCAGTGGCGTACCAAAAAATAGGGATTAACACGTATGAAAACAATAAAATTATTAAAATTGAATTTATATTTTTATGTTATTTATTTATAAATAATGTGTTTTTATGAAATGTAACTGGACGTTCACTGCACAAATGAACCAATGGGGAAACCACCCCTGCATCTAACATAAATTACATTTTTCAGCCACCTCCAAAGAAGGAGAAAGTGAAAGTGTTGCGCATAAAAAATCTAAAATTAGCGGAAATCACGAAACCAATAGATCGGGATTTGAAGGAGAAATTGATGTTGAAAGCGGTGGAACGCATTTTGATACCTCATAATTCAACCAACAAAATGCTTCATCAAAAAATAATGACCACACTTTCCACTTGCTTTAGCACAGCCGTCAGAGATAGGATACTGTTGTTTTTGCTGAATGATCTCAGATCGTACGTGGACGTCGCCTTGGCTTGGTTATTTGAGGAATACAGTATTATGCAGGTAAGATTTACAGTCTTTTTTATCAATAAAACAAACATGTTTTAGATCAGTGTAAAGCATATTAATATAACACTGTGATTCTATTATTTTAAACACTTCATTAATAATTATCTATAGTAGTCGTCGTACTTTTTAACTAGTTTAGATATCACAGGATGCTGAAGAAATAATTATTCAAATTTAGAATTAGAAAAAAAATTAGAAGCCAGTTACCAGTTAGTGGTAAACAACCTGTAAACATGTGTATTCTTAGGGTTTTTCAAGAGTACCCCCTTTAAGGAAGGATGGCAAGCTAGGAGACAGCTACAACATGTTATTGTGCAGTTTTATAAACGTATCCGCTACGGATACGCTTATTATAACCAGACTTCTTCTGGAAGCCCCCCTAGTCACAGATGATGCACTCGAAGAGGTCAGAGTCGTATGTAGGGACGAGAGAAGATCCGGTAAGTAAGATTAAAGCTTGCCAAACTATCTTGAAGTATCTTAGGTTAAAAACCCTTCTTGATTTCGCCCTCATAATTAGTTCTAAAGAAAAAAAAAAGTTCAAATATTTTGATTGAGAGTTTTTTAATGAATAGGCAATTCTGTGTGAGAATTAATGATCAAGTATCAAGAAATCATCCTGTAATCAGTGGAGTATCATAGGTTTATTTGTTTGGACCACTGTCATTTAACATTTTTCTGTCTATGAGTCTATTCAACCCGATTAACTAATAACTGCCAGTCTTGCTTGATTCAACATTATATGTTCACGAATAACCATTTGAATATTCGAGAACGAACCAGTAACTTTGTTGCGCCATCGCCAGTGGCGTCACAGCTTGTATATGTGTTATTTTATTTCATTATTAGTATAGGAATGACTCACTGCTGTATATTTTCGTTTTTTACTTTCCTATCTGTATACAGATATAAGGAAAGTATAGGAATCATGATTTTTTTGACCTCGAGTTTTCGACGGATTTTTACGTTTTGAGGTCCCCTGAATCCGTTTTGACTATTTTCGCGATGATGTGTGTGTGTGTCTGTGTGTCGCATAACTCATGAACCGATACACAGAGAAACACCAAATTTTAAACTTAAGCTTTGTTTCAGCGTCCAATGTGCTGATTAGATTTTGGGCAGTGTCGGAACATCTGGGGGGGGGTTACTTTATAGGTGGTCATTTTTATATTTTATGGAATATATCTGTTATTTACGTTTGGGGAAGAAAATTCTTTAAATAAAAGTTACTTCTTATATTATTATCTAAAATTTTTGTTCCATACAAAATTTTCCTAAAATGGTCCGTATTCGAGAAATTTGACAAAATGTAAAAAAAATATTTTTTTATAAAAATTGTTCAAACAAAAGTTGTTTGTAATATAATTCTCTATAATTTTTATCCTATACATAATTTCTCTAAAATGAACCGTATTCGAGATATTTGAGAAAATGTGTAAATTTCGAAATTTGAAGAAAACTCAAAAACGATAAAGAAAAAAACATTAAATTTTAAACTTAAGTTTTATTTCGGCCTGACGTGAAACGATTAGATTTTGGACAAAGTCGTAACATCTGGGGGGTACTTTATGGGGGGCCGTTTTTATATTTTATGGAATATATCTGTTATTTATGTTTGGAGAAAAAAATTGTTCAAATAAAAATTATTTCTAATATTATTATCTATAATTTTTGCTTTATGTCAAAATTTCCTGAAATGGTCCGTATTCGAGAAATTTGACAAAATGTGCAAAATTCTGATTTTCATGAAAATTGTTGAAATAAAAGTTGTTTGCGATATCGATCTCTATAATTTTTGTTTATACATGATTTTTCTAAAATGGACCGTAATGGAAAAATTGTAGGAAATTAAAATTTTTCAGTATTTTCATTTTCAATGAATATCTATAGAAAAATGTTTCGAGGTAAATGTATGTGGAAAATGTATATATTTATTTTATCCTCTAAACATTTATGGAGGTGCTGCAATAGGTTGTACAAAATAATCGGAAAAAGCCTGTAATAACTAGATAGGAAAGTCATGTGTTGGACACATCAGATTTTTAAGCATATTTCTTTATTTTTTGAACCTGTTGCAGTTAATCAGCCCTTTCAATGTTAGATCAGCCACATCAGTTTATCCGCTTACTAATCTTTATTATTATTTATTATTAATAATAAAATTAATTTCTAGGATGGGCGCTGGGTCTCATCCGCGACCTTACAATAAGAAAACCCCCCAAACAGCTGATCTTTCTCAATACGCTGCTCGGTTATACGACTTACGAAAACGCCATTGTTCGCGATCACGCTATCGCTCACGTCCTGGAACTTCACAAGCGATTCGATCTGAGATTGGTCATCGAAGAATTCGCCAGGATGAATTTGGAGTTTTTGAAGCTGCCGAAACCGCCCGAGAGCCTGTGCGGAGTCAATCAGGGTCGATTGAAGAGCGAAACGTGGAGCGACGATTTCATTAAGGCCTGTCTGTTGCCGTACGTCTCTCTGTTGCCCGCCAACGAAAATCTGATTCACGATTTGGCCAAAGTTTACGTCCAAACCAGCGCTGACATTAAGAGGATAATTTTAAGGTAAACAAATACATGCTAGTTGTTCAAATCCATAAATATAAAGATTAAGCAGTTAAAAAATACTATATTAACGGAAAATCCATTTCATAAAATATAATCAAATTACAATAGTAAGTTTAAAGTTTGCGTATGACACACAAGGAATCACATTTCGCGCAAGAAAAAGATGGGTATAATATTCCGCACAGTAGCAGCCGTATGCATAGTCGATCGCCAGCGACTCGCCAGAGATTCATTTCGGTGTATCGCCAGGCGATTCGCTGGCGATCCGCCGGCGAAGGCCCAAAAAGCTGGCGACTCGCCGGAGATTGTCACCGGAATGTCATTTCACGCAAGTTTTTATTTTCTTTTATAGGGATTATCACCGGTATCTCCCGCATTTTATTCATGATTCATTTCTTAAAACTCAAAAAATAATGAACGAATATCAAATTTTTCCCTAAAAAAGAACATGAAAACTTGCGTGAAATGACATTCCGGTGACAATCTCCGGCGAGTTGCCAGCTTTTTGGGCTTTCGCCGGCGGATCGCCAGCGAATCGCTGGCGATACGCCGAAATGAATCTCTGGCGAGTCGCTGGCGATCGACTATGCATACGGCTGTAAGTGTCCCGGTAGCGTATTACCATTGTTTACTATTATCCAGAGCAATCATGCTCCGAAATGCAGTAGAGAATGGCTTAATAAATACGCCTATTTTATATTGCCACCGTTTACTGCGATTCAGCACATTACCATTATGACAGTGCAATGGTTCTTTAAGGCACGCGTTGCTAGCGGCCAATGTTTACTGCAGTACAGCGCCGACTTATCGCTAGTAATGAAGACAAATACTTAATGTATACAGTCGATATCAACTTAGCAATGTGTGACTGTCCTTATGGTGCCGGGGGGAAGTTCTGCAAACATCTTTGCGCGGTTCAGGAAACTTGTGGTATTGTCTTCAAAAATGCTCCATTATTAACTGCCAGTGATAAAAAACTCTGGCCAAGCTAAGTCTCGGATATGACGTTCCTGAAGATTTTTTTGAAAACATGGAAGTTTAATATATGGAATGCGGTACCAGTGATGATAACACAAATAATAAAAAAAGTTGTTCTGAAATATCGTCAATAGCAATTACGCCATCAGAAGATGACGAAATAATGGATAGGAAGCACTTGGCTGCTATTGAAGAGCTTGTGACCTCCCACCCCCCGGTCTTGTAGATAATTATTAAAAGCCCGTATTTTAATTTAACTACATCCCTCCCCTTGTGAAATTCAAAGAAATTCATACTTACTGTATATGGCCTTTTCCTCTAGTAGTGTAGTGATCGTCTAGTTAATTAATTGATAATTTATATACCCACGTTGTGATAATGTTAATTAAAATAAACCAGGATTCGATGCAAAGTTTGGTACAAATTTGTGAATGAAATAATGCTCAAAGTATATTTAACTTAATTTATTTTCTTGATCTCCAATAAAATAAATATGTACAGATTATTTTAATATAAGGTAGACCTCACATGTGTCCCGCCCAAACAACAGGCCACAGGCCACTTGCCATCAAATATTTGTAATAAACCATTCTTGAGAATAGACAGCAGACGTCCTCAGAATTGCACTATCTTTAATAATTCTTTGTTTCGTTGTTTTCTTTTTTATATAGGTGCGCTTACTGAGATACCGTCGTTGCAATAACAGGCGGATATCCCTTATGTTTCAGCCTCACCTAGGGGGGTTTTATGTAGATGTAGTCTTACTAGAATAGAGCCAGAGCAATACTAGCGAACTACCCCTTATGTTCAGATCTACCTACGGTGCGAAGATTGAGAGATAATTATCTAAGATAGTCCAACCCTGTAGTAACATCAAGCATATTCGGATAAATGTGAGTCTAGTCGTCCGATGTGTCATTTACCCCAATCAGCTGAGCTGTTATTTGCGAGGGTTCATTGACAGTTCGGTAACCAGACTCTTATTATCTTTTACGGTGATATATTAATTTGAAGGCAATATGGCCCATAGCATACACATCTGGACGAGCTAAATGCGACGTCGGCTAGCAATAAATTCCTCAAAGGTAAAGATTTACCATTATTGAATAATAATGAGTTACACAATAATACTCATTATTATTCAACAATAAATTCCCATTTTTACAAATTTAGTTTGGTTGTTATTAACTCACCATCGGATAAACAGGCCGTTGGGTTTATATTATCGTCTGTTTCTATTTCAGACATTTTATATTTTTGTATTCTGGATAATTAGCAGGGACGTTGAGCGACGGATGGGGACGTCGGATAAAGAGATGACGTAGTGACGTCGAGCGTCGAGACGTTGGGCGTCGGGATGAATATAATGGTAGGAAATACTAAGTGGTATTAGAAGTGATATCGTTGGGACGTCGAAAGGTAGGGAAGTAGAACGGAGAGGCGTTGGGCGTCGAGACGTTGACACCTCTGGGAAAATGGAGGTATTGTGGGATAGACGTCGTTTAGGAAGAGCGTTTAGGAAAGTTACAGACTGTATAACTGGGTACTGACAATAAGGTGATTGCTTTGAATGTGAACTAACAAATGTATGCTTGCACATCAAATGACAAAAATTGAATGACTCTGAACTCATTTAACTCTGGTTTTTATACACAGTTTAATCGTTTTTGTGACGTCTCTATCGTTTTGTTTCTCATAGAAAATACGAATTTAGGTGGATAGGGGGTGGCTGATTTATTATTTGCCTTGGAAAGTTTGTGTATCGAAAACAACGTTCCTATTCAAAACTGACATAAGATAAGTGCGTTAAGAGTTTTAATGATTATTACTTCGTGTTGTATGGTGGTTTTAGATTGTGTTCCCAGACACTTTTAAGAAATTGGATCTCTTACGGGCCTGGGTTATAGATATTATTTATTAGGTGTCGTAAATAAGATTTAATTATCTGGGAGATTTTTGTTAAATGAAGAATTTGGTATTTAATAAGAATGCAACTTTTTTTAATAAAATGGAATTAATAAATGATTATGGTACCTGGGTGCGGTAGGTTACAAGCTTAATTTAAATTTCCAAAGGCTTACTAAAATCGCTTCAGAAAATAGATTAATTGATTTGACAAATTCAATTATAAAGTTGAATAGTACTCTAAATAAAAGAAAAACGCCCTCACAATTGGCAACATTATTTTGTGACATGAGGAAAACACGATGTTCCGTAAATATCGGAGTACAACCGGGGTCAATCAGCCGGCGTAAGAAAAGACCTGGCCTTACTTCTGGAGCTAAGAGAATTCAGTCAGGAATACCATCAAATCAGGAAGTATCAATAACCAAGAAACGCAAATGAAATCTTGGGAAAAGTATTGCAGAAAACATTTCCAATGCTAAATCGCACGGGAGATCTTAGTATGTTAAATATGTATATGTCTTCTAAATGTTAAAGGAAAATACCTAAATTTATAAAAATATGTACTTAGATACCTATACTATTAGAATTTATCTATCTACTTATTAAATGTTAATTGTTAATGTTTAATTATTATTATTATTATTATTTTAAAAGAAAACAGTACCTGAGTATCTAATATTACTCTATTATAAGATTTAACTATTCAGTGTTAATTATTTAATTCTTTTCCTATAATAGCGGTAGCAAACCCTAAACATATAATAATAATGTGCCCTTATGCAAAAAATAACACAAATTATGATATTGTTAAATATATAACCTTCAGAGTGCAGTAAACAATAAACGCGTCTATATTATTGCTAAAATCTACCGCGATTCAGATTCATTTTAAAAATTGTTCTGAATACCAGTAAAGATTGGAAATCTAAATTACGCGCTTGTTTAAAGACCATTGGCTACTACGATTCAGAACACTGTCATAATGGTAATGTGCCGAATCGAAGTAAACGTTGGCAATACAAAATACGCATATTTACTAGGCCATTCTCTACTGCGTTTCGGAGCATGATTGCTCTGAATAATAGTAAACAATGGTAATACGCGTCCCGGTACGTGCCGGTCCCCGGCAGTGAGTAGAGGAACTTACAAATTTCTAAACATCGACGAATAGTTTTCTACTTCTGTTTTCAAGGCTCGGGTCGACAAGGAATTTGCATAAGCAGGCCCAGCATTAGTATCGTTTTAGGAAGAAATTTGAAAAATTTATTTCTAGTTTGTAAATTACCCTTCATGCCATAAAACGTTTAAATTAAATCATTCTAAAATACAAATAAACCAGTTTAACTTTCTTAGCAAAAATCAAAAAAGCTAAACAATAATCAATTTTCATGAAATTAACTCGCTTAAAACTAGTTCTATTTTAATATTGATCCAAATTTTTTGTTTTTTGTCTGCACGTCAAAAATTGAAGAATGATATCAACTTGAAATTTTCAGGAAAAATCAAGCACTATAAGGGGACAAAGGCTATTGATTTTGAAAAAATCTCTGATTAATAATGGGGGTTTAAAGGAGGTTGAAACTTAAAAACAAGCTCTATAAGGGGACAAAACCTATTGATTCTTTAAAAAATATGATTAAAAATAGTGCGGTTAAGTGGGGTTGAAATAAAAAAAAAATCACAAATCAAAAACGAGAAACGATTACTTGAAATTTTCAGGGCAAATCAAGCTCTATATGGAGACGAAGCCTATGAATATAAATGGGGTAGTTAAGGGAAGTGAAATTTAAACCGAAAAGCGATATGAATTTTTTTTTAGTAAAAATCAAGCTCTTAAGGGGATAAAGCCTATTGATTCTGAAAAAAAATGAATAAAAATGAGGGGTTAAGGGGGGTCTGTTAGACTGTAAAGAGTATAATATAGAATGCCAAGCATTACATATCTTTATTCTAGTTGCTGCAAATGTTTTCTCTAATAACTTATTTTAGAAGGATAATGAGCATACATTAAATTGTATACATGCCAATTTGTTTGATTTTGATCTTATATAAAAACTGCCTTGATGCCACAAATATCTCATGCATGGTGTCTGTATCCACGATACCTCAAAAATTTATGCAGAGAAAAACAAATTTGAAATTTAAGCTTTAATTCATCTTCTATTGAGGTAATTATATTTTGGACATATTCGGAGCTTCTAGGGGTACTTAATAGAGAGTCGTTTTTCTACTTTAAGGAATATATCTGTTATTTACGCCTGAAGAAAAAAATTCGTCAAATAAAAGTTGCTTGTGATATAAAATTCAATTAAAAAAAATGCGAAAAGTATGTATTTGAATTTTGACTTACCCTGTACAGATTTGTTTCGAATTAAAAAAATTAGTGTATCGGCATAAAATGTAGACTAATATCGATAATCTTTTACCACAAAAGATTGTTTTTCAATTGTTTCTTTTGCAGTGTACAGGCCATTGGAATCAATACGATTTTCATATAAAATTGGTATACTCTATAATCTCATACTATTTGGTATTGTTATAATGGGAACAGCGAGGACAATTCAAATAAAAAATAAAATACAGGGTATTCCATTTAAAAAAATCTAACTTTGATATGTTTCACTTTTTTAGAGAACCCTGTATGATTAAAATTATTTTTAAATTGTTGTCTTTTCGGACATACATCTTGTTGTGAAAACGAATGTTAAAAAAAATCAAATAGTTTTGGCTCTACAGATCGAGGCGTTACCGGTGGCCCACCCTGTACATAAGTCACCCACCCTGTACATAAGTCACCCACCCTGTACATAAGTCATTAACCTTACAAGGTTCATTTTTTAATTTATGTGCAAGAAAAAATATGTAGGTATATATTAAAGTTAAAAATGGATTTCGTGAAACTCGTTTTTCAAAATCTTAAATAAACATCTCTGTAAATATTTTCTCACTTGTTTTTTTTTAGAGAAAACAAAATATTAAAAAGTACCTAGGGAGAAACGCATATATAAACTTAGCCAAAAATATTAAACTTTGGTAAAAAGATAATAATTACAAAGTATGCCAGTAAGTTAAATTTCATTCGGAAATAAACATATATTTTAAGGGAAACAACCATATTTGTTAAGAAATAATATATCGAATTATTTATTTAATTAAATTAAAAAACCCTCTTCGGCCCTGTGCTGCTTTAAGTATAACGGTAATGCAAATGACTAAGGTTCTGAAGCGGCATCTGTGAAATTACCTTGAACTTCTTACTGCACAGATTCCTACAATCTTTGGTTAGGGCATATGCCACTTTTGATCTGCATTGTCCCTAGCCGATTAGATCAATTAATATTTAGTTTTAATTTCAAACCAAGCTTTCAGGAAAACCAAGCTTTCAGGAAAACCAAACATTATTATTTTAAAGTGCGATTTGTTTCATTTATTTGATATGTTAGTTTTACGGGTGGTAACAAAAAGAAAACGTCTAAATATGTTTAGTTTTAAAGTAAATACGTCGACAAGTCGAAGGTTTCTATGTGGTTTTGACACCAAGGATCAAAGTCATTTTTCGAGTATTTTTAAAAAACTGTTTCTTTAGATTTCTTTACAACCCGTAGGCATAATTCATAAAATGATTTCTGTATTAAAATTAATGCTACAAAGTATACTTTTCCCGAAAGTTTCGACGAAAGTAACCTCTGCATATATGGGGAATTAACATGGGCGATCGCCAGCCTTAAGTAGTTTACATAGAGAAATAATTAAAAATAGTACACAAAAAACTTTTCTTTTAACTATAAACCTCTAAAAAAAAAAACATTGATTAATATAAAGTTTGTAATTTTCTTTTAAATATTTTAAATAATCAAAAAATATACCATTTAGTCACGTGTTAGTGGATTATAATGACCGTAATTAGTTAAATGTCTATTTTCATATAACAATGGTCTATTCCTTGTTCTTGATCCAACATTAAAGTGAAAAAAGCAAGCAGTACCAGACAATTTATTATACCTTTTAACAAATTACGTAAGATTTGTAAATCCACATCATGCCTTCTTTTTCAAGAGAGTAAAGATTAGTCATTTCAGATATTTGACAGTAATTAGTATCTAGCCAGTTTATTCATAGCTTGTATGCACTCTTTCAATCAATTCCACATCACACATGTATAGTGAAGTCCAAAAAATTGAACCAAATTTTAAAATTGACCTGACCAAAGGTGAATATGCGATCTGACAAGTAATGAGACTGACTTCAAAAACCATGTATATTTTAGAATTAAGGTACATTCTTACTCTTCGACTGAATACCCTTGTCACTGACGTTTGGATGTCAGTTACCGGCTCAAAATGCATTCCTTTCACGACTTGTTAGATCCGGGAACATACAAAATTCACAAGGACCCATATCAGGGAATACGGTGGGTCAGGAAATATTGGAATGTTTCTTGAGGTAAAAAATTACGGCACAATGACGTTATGTTATGTTATGGTGAATAGTCCATGTATTTTCGATATCTGGATAGACTCTAACAACTCTTTCGCAATTATTCGAGTACCTTTAGGTATAATTGTTGATTAATAGTCTGCCCAGGTGACCCAAATTCCGTATGCACCATCCTTTTGCTGTTAAAGAAACAAATCATCATCGTTTTGACATTGGATTTTGTAATTATTACCATTTTTGGTCTTGCTAAACGAGAAGACAGCCAATGTTTGGTTTCAGGATTATGCTGACAGTAATTACATGATCCAGAAAGGTTGGATCATATTCAACCTGTTCAGGACAATCCTGCGCGACGGATATACCCTTGCTCAATATTATACCGTTTCATTTCTGCAACACGTACTGTATACACCGACTTGAAAAACAAGACACAGCTGGAAAACTAACGATCGTATGAGAGTCGCAAATTCAAAATCTTGATAAATTACATACAAACTACTATATTTTATCTGCCACTGTATCTTTCACCTATATAGTTTGGCAACAAGATACGAATGATGACGGAGAGTATGATATGAGCGCATTCCATCAGGAGGCAGCATTTAACGTGGCGTGCTATCCCCTAACTTTGGACAATTTTAAAAAATCATTAAAATGTTATTAAGAGCTCAAGTTTGGGTATTATATCTTAAAATAGTGCTATTGAGCGATTTATGTAGTCATTTTCATTGTGATACTTTGAGATTTAAAGCTCCTTGCTTTTTCTCGGAAACTGGAAGGAATTGAAACATCAGTATCTCTAGATAATATTTCCTAATTTATTTTTACAAAATTTGATTTTTTTTTACGAAAACTTTTTTTGAGATCTTTGTTATAAAGGATGCTATAAATTTGGCTTCGCGACTGTCATCTGTGACGCCGCTGTACTCTTTACTAATGAAATGTAGTTTATGTGTTACACATTTTGATTTTTTAGGCTCATCGACAATCCCATTAAACACATGGGAATGGAATCGAAGGATCTTTTGCAGCTCGTCGAGGAATGTCCAAAGGGATCTGAAACGCTGGTTACTAGAGTTATACACATTTTAACGGACAAAGGCACTCCCACGCCTGAGCTGGTATCCAGAGTCAGGGATTTGTATAACACAAGAATTTCCGATGTTAGATTTTTGATTCCCGTGCTGAATGGACTTACAAAGAAAGAAGTAAGCTATTTTATTGGAATGTTGGGTTTTTATTTATTTTTTTTTTCACTAATTCAAGATTTTGCAGAATTTCAATAACCTTATTCTACATCCCGTTTCTCATTTTTGGTTTAAATTAACGGTTTTTTTGTTTTTAGGTAATATCAGCGTTGCCGAAACTGATTAAACTCAATCCTGTAGTGATAAGAGAAGTCTTCAACAGACTTTTAGGGCTGCACGGTGATAGTCCTATTAGTCCCAGCGAACTTTTAGTGTCGTTGCATCTCATCGATTCCACTCAGGCCGATCTCAAAACTGTCATCAAGGCGACGTCAATGTGCTTGCAGGAGAAGCAGGTATGTCCAATTAAGATTTGTTTCTTTTTGGTTTGGATACATCGTGGGTGTGAATTAGAAATTTCAGTATTAATATTTTTAGGTATATTCTCAAGAAGTTCTAGCTGTAGTGCTTCAACAACTCATGGAGCAAACTCCGCTACCTACTTTGTTAATGAGAACCGTCATCCAAGCACTATCGAGTTATCCCAGACTGTCCGGTTTTGTAATGAACATCTTGCAGAGGTTGATTTCAAAAAAGGTAAGTTAATTTTATAAACACAGTTTTCCGTAGATATAATAGGTTTGTTCCAACGAATAACTTTTGTACTATCTTCTAAACGGTCACAAAACTATTTGGAAGAATTCAGTTCGCAGGCACTGATTTCGTACGGTTTCTTGACGGTACAAAAATATGCCCTAGTTCTTTTTTCTAAACTTATGAAAACTTTTGAAATATCAAAATATACAAATTTTTAACATATTGATACATTTAAAATTATTTTGACAACTGCCACCTGACATGATATAATTAATCTACAACGTACCAAAGTCTGGTAACTTTTTGTTTCGTCCATTCTACATTTAAACAATAAAGAAAGCAAATGGACCGAGTCTTTAGGAACCTTCCCAATTTTGGGTCATATTATGTAAAGTACCTTTTTAATGCCCCCTATTTAGTATACATTAGAGAAAATCGAGTAATGGATTTCCGCTGCTTAGAAACAAGTCAGTAATTTATTTGCTTGGTCATTTTATCAATACTCAAGTTTTTTTGTATTTCAGAATGTTTATTTGTAAAAACCAGTGGCGTAGCTAGTTGAGATATAAAGATTTTTAATTTGGTTTGTAATCGTGGAGATTTTTACACTTTATCGTATGTGTGATATTTAGAGAGTATTATTTTTAGTTATTTCTTGGGAGATGAGGTTTATAACTAAAACTTCAAAAATGTTTGGTACTGTCATAGCTTTCGGCCCCAAATTGTGGGTCTGTGGGTTTTATTTTTTCTATTTAATAATATGGAATTTTTATTTAAATGTTGTTTCTTTCATCCATTTTTTTTATTTACATATTCATTATTATTTTTTATGAATTTATAATAATAATTTGTTTGTGCTTACCTACAATTAGTATACATTATTTTTGTTTATTTTTTTTGACTCATGAATCTCATTAGAAACCTTCCCCACACCTTGTATATCTGTGCAATTATAGATATCATGCACTTGAAAGTAAATCTGATGATAATGTTTTTATTAAATTACTCAATTCATATATAAACTATAACTAATCGAAGTGTGGAACACAATTTTAACTCAAACACGTTCAGGTATTTTAATGATTTTACGGACACTTTAGGTGTGGAACCAAAAAGTAGTATGGGAAGGCTTCGTGAAGTGTTGCCAGCGAACTAGACCACAAAGCTTCGCCGTTCTGATGCAGCTGCCACCTCCCCAACTCCTAGAAGCTTTGACGATTTGTCCCGAATTGAAGGAACCTCTTAGAGATCACCTGATGACGTTTACAGAGGCGCAAAGGGCGCACATTCCCGCCGCTGTGCAAGAAATTATTTTATCATACACGGCGCCCCCTGCTGTGCCGCCGCCGGGGATTATTATGCAACCTGATGTTATGGTAAGTCGAGGATAATTACACCAGATCCTGAACTTGTAGTGCATCTCACTTGTTAAAGAGATCGAAATAAGTTTATAGGTCCAGAGGTGGGTAAATTCAAGTGGACTGTACTGTGATTCTAGTGCACCATTAAATTTCCCGCCAAAATAGTAAATTTCAGAAGTTAAAATGACGGAATTTTTGAAAATATACATTCGTATAGTTGCAATAATTGATAAGTATATTGCATTTTATATTAAAAGTTAACTCTGGCACTATTTTTATTTTGATAGCTAAACAAACGCATTAATAAATGTATTAGGCATTCCATCTACCTGTCAAAATTCTGCCAGTGGGAACTGACAGTTTAGATATGTTAACCCTATGAGCCTGTTGTTATTGACAGGGTCAATGATACATATATAGTTATATAGATTGCTCAAAGCGAGCGGCCATATTATCTGGCAAGTGCTCATTAATTTGAATCGGTTTAGCAAAAAAGTGTTTTTATAAAATCAATTTCCAGCCTTTGAATATATTAAAAAAAAAAATAATTACCTACATTTTTACTTCAAGGCATAAACTTATGTTTATATTTAAAAACATGGATGATCAATCTATATATATCTACATCATTGGCCCTGTCAAATCACCAGGTCCACAGTGTTGCCAGATCATAACTTATCATGTGCCTGTCAGTAGCCTGTCATTACCTATGAGCAACTTTTGGATTAATATTTAATAGAAATTTATTAAAAAATGTAATATTTTTTAATTGTACCTCTGCTGATTTATTATAGCTATAGAGGTTAGATCGGAAAAAAAGGGGGCTTTATATAAAAAAAATAAGTATACTTAATATAAGTATCTATTTTAAATATATTAAAATTTGTTTCATTTAATATTTTAAAGTAGAGCATATTTCTTAATTTCTTCATTTGTTCTAGATTAGTTTCTTATATATGAGTTGCACTACAGTATTTCGGGAAAGGTTGTGAAAATAAGTTTTTTATACAAATAATATTGCTAATTGTGTTGCTTTAATGTTTTAGGTTGTGGAGTCTGTTATTCCTATTCCTGTTCCCGTTCCTGCTCCTACTGCCCTTCAATCGGAGCCCTTACCGCCTGGTATGGAATAAGTTGGGAACAAAATGGTTGAAATACAACAGCGCTTGTCCACAAACATTGTTTTTGTCGTAATTAAATGTTTGAAATATATTTTTAATTATAAGGAATTAGAAAAGTTTTATTTTACCTTTTAGTGCCGTTCAAGGGAAGATATGTTTGCAGCTGTTGTAATATGGTTTCTTATGAAAAGGACACTTACTCTTTGGCTCCTTACAATCGGAAAATATTCGGGCGCCAGTTTCGATAACGTTGTTTGCTCCACAGCCCTCCGACGCAGCTTGCGAGAGGGCTCGGGTAGCTTCAGATGGAGATAACTGAACATTTCTTGACTTCACTACGATCTAACTTTTATTTAATTAAAACAATCTCTCGATATCAACCATAATAATATGCTAGTAACAATTAGTCTAATCAAAATTTTGAAAGGACAAAACAGGAATTTTTGATATAAGGTACTTTGAAGTATTTGAATACGATGAATGAATGAAAATGGCGGAAACAAAATAAAGTGTTTTTATTATGCAAAATAGGTAAGAACTAGAAAAAAGTTCTGGATCAAAATTTTATATCAGTTTGAATGTTTTACAGAGTTAAGGATATTTACAATTTTAAAAATATAACGCGCTGAAAGTTTAATGAATTTTCATATTTTCTTATATACTCAGAAATTTTTTAATTTTAATAAAAAAAGATATTTTTTAAGTTGAGAATGAGTGCATACGGTGAAATATTTTTTTTTTTAAATTATTATCTTCATTATTTTATGTATTAAACAGTTGCTTTTGAAATTTTCGTAGATCAACAAGGGGGCTTCTGGATCACTACTTCAAAACACACGTATTGAAATAAATCAAACAATTAGGTTATTACTCTAGTCAATGGCTTACATTGAGCTAAAGGTAATACGGGTAATACGTTGACATTCTAAAACACCATCACGAAAATTTTCGGTTTTAATAGACTGTTGATAGTTGACAAAAATACTAGACTGGAGTAGGAGACACTCTACTAATGACTGCAGTACGAAGCTCAGTTTTTTTTTTTGGCCTCTCCAGTATTTGCGGAGTCTTCGGGATCCTAGGTCCCGAAGCACTTTAATGTGGAAAGTAAAGTTTTGTGCTGTGATTTGTGTACTAGAGGTAAAATATCTTTTAATTATTTTAACATGTTTGGGAAACTTGTCGAATATGTCAAATTAATAAATTCAAATATCGTGGGCTTACAAGCAAAAGGCATTAAGTCAAAAAATAGGTTTATGAGTTAAGAGCAATTTAAAGTTTCAATGAAGTTCTAATTTTTATAAGTTATTTAGTGATTATCAACTACTTCAAAGAAAATGTACATCCTTTCGGAATACAATGCACTGTTTTTACATCATATACAAAAATGTAAACCCATTTTGACAAATTTTTGACTTAGTGCCTTTTGCTTGTAAGCCCACGATATTTACCTAAACCAGATTTTATACACATCTCACAATGTTCTGAAATTCCATTTGAAACTGTACATATTGACTTTGGGGAAGTGAGTAAAAAGTCGGATTTAAATCAAACCACAAAATCGTTTGTTATTGTTATAGATGAAGCTTCACGATATGTTTTTGGCAAATCATTAAAAGAGAGTAACATAGCCCTTATAGATTATTTAAATAAAATTCCTTATATTCACCAAATAAAGAACATCGTTTCAGATTGTGGAAAAGCTTTTAAATCTGAAGAATTTCGAAATTTTGCAATAAGTAAGAATATAAAGTTAATTCACACTAGTCCTTATCATCCAAGGAGCAATGGTATTGCCGAACGAGCCATAAGGGACGTAAAAACTTACTTAAAATGCTACCCTGAACTCACTGGTGGCTGGAAAAAGGGATTAGAAGCAGCGATACAGCACCATAATTATTCACATAATGAGTATTTAGGCTGCTCGCCAAATTTTAAACTGTTTGGAAAGGCACCTATGTTACTAGCAGATAAATCTTTAGGACTGGATATAGAGATAAAGGAACTTCCTAAATCTAAAGAAGAACAAGATAAATATAAAAAATACAGACAACAACAAGCAAACAAAAACAAAAAACTTAAACCGCCAAATTTAAGAATTTGAGATCACAATTTAACAAGGCATCAAAAAATTGGGAAAGAATTTGTTGTCAAGGGACCTTTTGAAGTTACTAAAGTTAAAACCTTTAATGGAATAGTGTCATCGGTGAATTACTTCAATGAAGGCATAGAAGAATCTGTGCATTGTTCTAATTTAAGAAAATATCCCAGGGCGGCTATCCTCGACAATCGCTAAAAAACGAACCGTTTTCGAAAGTGAGTGGTTGAAAAGCGAGTAGTTTTTGAAATCTATATTCTTGACTGACGTTCGATGAGTATTCGTTTTTTAAGACGTGTACGTTTTTAACAAGCAAATAATATGTCTGGCATCACTGTAAACTGTCTATATCGTTGAATTCAAGTAATGTGCAGGCCATAAAAGAATAAGAATTATGTAATTTAATTACAACAAACTAATTGTAAATTTGTCGAACGATGATTTTTTCTAATCACATAATATATATCGATGTTCAGGATTATCTGAATCGTTAATTGTTGGCGTAAAAATAGCTATACGGGTGCAGTTAATGCAACCTATAATTTTAGGAAAATCGTACGTCATAAAAACCTAGTTTTTATAGTAAAAAATTCATTTAACTAATAATTTTGCTTATCTTATTCAGTTCTTTAATATTTTGTGGCAATTTTACAAAATTGTAAAAATTTCTGGACACAACGTGTGATACAGAAGAGCTTTGAAAAGCAAGCATATTAACATTTGTAAATAAAACATACATGAATTAATAATTAAATTCTTACACGGTAAGATATAAAAAATATTCATTCAATATCAGTTAAAATCAAAAACTGGATTCTGTCTCTGCAAGTCTGAATCTTTAAGGATTCTTATCTTCTAAGTTTTCTAATTGTACAATTATTGATAATATAATTGAAAGAAATTCGCAGCTAATGGACTTCTTTAGTACTGCAAACCATATTTATAAGAAATTAGATACTTTTGTAGGTGTTAATAAATAGTAGTTTACCTAGAATTTGTTAAAATTAATCAATATTATTAATCGTCCTAAAAGTGACATATAAGTGACATTGACTAAATCCTTAAAAACATGCACGTTTTATCAAAAACGTGTGAAAAATTCCGCTCGCTGTAAAACACCCGTTTCAAAAGCGTACACGCTTTTAAAACGAATGTCGAGAATAGCGAATAGCTCGTATGTTGCTAAAGCGTATACGTTTTTTAGAAAACGATAGCCGAGGATAGGGCCCCTGGAGTGATGACTTCATAAGGGAGGGGTTAGATGTAGAAGATCATCCTGTATGATTGATTTTGATGAGATTCGGACAGTATTGTCAAGTTTGACATAAGTGATCTTTGAAATAATATTGTAGAGCTATATTAATAAAGCTTATTCGAGCTAATACTCTCATATTTTATTACAAAGTTTAACAATAATTGAGCCTAGCCTATTGCTTTTATCGAATGTGACAGTGACATTAAATTTTAGTGGAATTTCGAAACGGAATCCTACCCCAGACCTTTTGCATTTATCTTACTTCATACACGAATTTGACAGTTTTGCCGAAGAGATACCGCAGCGAACGTGATAGATTTGTTTAGGAAAGTTTGTAGAATTATGATTTTTCAGCATTTGTCCATGTTTCTTATGCACGTTGCGCCCTTCCAGTAGTATTAAATTATCTGTTTCGATTATAAACGATTAAAATAAGATTACGAGTAGTTTTAATTTTGGACGTGGAGGTATGTTGGTATGTATGGTGGTAGAGGTACCGAGATAAATGGGCAGTAATCTCAAAGTTTGGTATAGGGGGTAAATAGAAGTTAACCCGGCCATGAATAAAGGACATACCCAACGAAAACATTTCCTTACTGTAAACTTAATAATAAATAAAAATAGAAATTATTTATTAAAAAAAAACTATATTTTATCAAAAAAATAAAACAAAAGTTCTAAAAACCCAAGGTAACTCTCGTGACCGAAACTTGCTGAGATTTGTCCGAATTGAACGTCACGCTGGTCCTCTGTGTATTAAGTTGTTCGTGATCGGAAGATGAACAACTCTTCGGCGTCGACAACGTCGAATATGAACTGGGCGTCGGTTTGTTTTCGGGCATTTCAAGATTGTGCTCTGATAGACATCTAGCGATGACCGGCGTCATGTTCGGAAAGTTCATCGAAAATTCACGAAGCTGGTATAGAACTTTTTTGTTGGTCTCTTGTAAGTGACGTATCTCGAAATCTCTCTAAAAAAATTAAAATAAAAAATACGTTTTAAAAATAGAAGTCTTTTACGGATAAGGTACTTCACTTTCATATCTAACAAAATTGTGTGTAAGGTGTCAGCTTAAAATAGAATAATTTTATTTTTAAACAGTATTCTTTATGATTTTGATTTAGATTAAATAGTTTTGAAAGGGGGAAAAAGATTAGTTCGGATGAACTTGTAGAGGATGAACAGATGAATAGTAGTGTAGAAATGAAGAATAGAAGGAGGTGGGAAAGGATGACAAAATATTTGGATGGAAATGATCATGAGATCAATAGAGAGGAGAGTAGGAATGTGAGCAAAATGATTAAAAATATAATAAAATGCGCTAGTTCAGTGTGATATCATTTTGGTTCCACTGACATTTAATTCTAACCAAACTTTTAACAAAAACATCAATAAATTTGACATATACGTTTTTACTGTTTTTATTTTATTTCAAAATATTGTTTACAGGTCATAAAAAATAGTTTAAAGGTATGTAATTGGTAACTAAACGATTGTATATTTGATACATGCTATCTACTTACTTTAGGAATATATTTATAAAAGTGAAAAAAACGATATAATTTAAGTAAACAAAACGCACTCAAAAAATCTACTGTCAGTTTAATTGTCAGTAGAACCATAATTACATCATCACTGAACTAACGCATAGACCTTTTCATCATGTGATGAGCGCAAACCCAGCCACCATGTTGAAATAGCTGTAATTCAAAAGTTTCGTACCTGTTTTGATCGACAATGGCTGGGAAGGCAATATTATCTCTACAGAAAAATTAATCATTAGAAAAAATCATTGATGGTGATTAACTTTTTTAACACTGTATGGAAGCGCATAGTTGTGAGCAGTTGAAAAGGTGGTTGAAGTGTCTTGAACGTTTGTTACAAAGGAACAAAGTGGACTGATTGAGAGGTTAGGTGTATCAATACTTCTTAATTAATGAAAACAAATAATAATTTTAACTCTATTCTAATTAATTATGCCAACCAACTATTATTACTTGCAAAAACACTTTAATTAACATGAAAGTTAATAACGAGTATAATTTATAAAATAAATTATTTAATATTTTGAGGATCAACATGACATTTTTAATCATATTACTATGTTTACCGAAGTAGTATTTAATATTAAAAAAACATTGTTTAATACCATATATTTTATCGATTATAATTTTTTTCACTTGGGAATTTTAACATGCTTGTTTACAAAAACAGTACGAAAAAGATGGCAGATATTGACTCATGCACACAAAAAAAATTTGTGATGAGAAGGTCTATTGAGGAAATAGGAAAATTAGGGAAAGATATTGGTAACAAAATAGACGGCGTGATGAGTAGTATTGTTAGATAAAACTAGAGTTGATGCAAGAGATATTTATATAATATAGGTGCTAGAAGTAGAATCCGGCATAAAAGAGATTTTTTCTTGGTGAGGAGTATCTGGTTGGACAGCGTCTCCATATCGCAGTTATCCCCAATTTTATTTTAAAATAACACTTACATTGTATTTATAGAGATCTTTCTTGTTCTTGTTCTTAAGCTGCTTATACAACCTCTTCAATTCGCATTCTACCCTTTTAAGCTTCTCTTCTTTATCTAATTCCTGTTTTCTTACTAGTACCGTCTCCTCTTCCATATTGTGGACCTCTTCTTTACTGAGGTGAAGATCTTCTTCGGTGGTTTTTAAATGTTTTCGGGTCTCTAAAAATAGACATGGATTATAGTTATATTTATTTTTTCTAAAATTCTAGATTTTAGTTTTAGTTTACCTTCGAGTTCGGCTTCCTTGACGCTGAGTTCGCTACGATACTTTTTTAATTCTTCGAAAGTTTCTCTTAACTCCTGTTCTAATACGTGCAATTCTTCGACCTCGGGATCTATAAAAAAGAATCCTTTAATTGTAGATATTTTATTTACGTTATAGTAATAACTACAAAAATCATAATTGGAGTTGGCTGTGAAATTTAAATGTTTTGTGTTGGTACTTTAGCCACTTCCACCGAATTATATTTATTTATTACCTGACATTTTCATTGTAAACAAAGTTTATTACCTCAAAATAATACTGTAACTACACAAAAAAAGAAACATTCATATTTTGAAATCAAAATCAAAATTTACATAAATAGTCCAATTAAATAACGAAAAAAAAGCCCCTTCGAGCTTACATTAATTTGTAATTGGATGAAACAAAAAGGACCTTGTGTATTTTGATGTGATCTTTCCGAAAAAAAGAAAAAAAAGATGTAGCAGTTTTTCAATTTATTTTAAATTAGGAAAAACCGGGTTTTCCAGAATTTTCCATTGTAAAAATGCTAATTATCTGGGCAAGTATCATTCCGATAGTGAAAATAATTGCACCATTCGAAAGAGGAGGCAAAAATAGTTCGGAAATTCATTGCACAGGTAGTTTTAATGGCGAATTTCTCGCCGCCAGAAGTGCTTTTACCAAAAAGTCGTTTTTTCGTTTTTTTGATCAGAACCATGGACATGAAATTTGCGATGAATTTGTGGCGAAATTATAAATGTTAGACATATGTGCCCATGAGAGAAGTTGCGTATTTTTTTGTTGGCTCTCAAATAAAATAAGTCCCGCGGCGAAATCTGACATAATTTTTCGGGAATTCGCAGGAAACCAGAGGCGTAATTTTTTTTTAATTTTTTTCCCATATGATTTTTTCCGGGTTTTCCGAAAACATCTAACAAAAAAAAATATATTTGAAAAAACTAACTTCGCCATCGAAAAGAGCACAAAAAAATACACAAATAGGTATTCTTTAAAAATGTTAGGAAATTAATCCTAAGCCTGAGTGTAAGTTCCAACTTGGTGATAAGCTTGCTTTTTGTTCGCTAATATCTGGTAATTCTATATTTTGCACAAAACTCAAGAAACGTCTTATAACAAGTCAGTAAAATACAATTTAATAAATTTTAAGCCTAATAAGTTTAGATATGTAAGAAATTTAAAACTGGAAAACGCAAAAAAATCAAATTACAGTAATGTAGTGTATACACGAGTTTTGGATCCCGCGGAGCGCGTGTAATGGGACTTTTGTCGGGAGAATTCTACAACTTAGAAGAAACATACACACTTTAAACTTTGTATACACATTTAGAAGACATGAAATTTGGGTTTGTTTAATTTTCAGACAAAAAAACTAAAAATTGTCAATTTTAGGCAACTTTTCTCAAAAACCGCGTTTTTTGGTTGTCACTCAATGAACAGTGGTCAAAAAATTAGATAAAATATATTTGCAGAATTTTCCGTAATGTAATCGTATTCTAGACACAATAGAGTACTCAAAAAAAAAAGTTTTGAGCCATTGGATGCATTTTTGGCATTTTTGTGCCACTTCAAACTTTCGAAAAAAAAAAATTTTTTTAAGAAAAAAAAAAAATTATTTAATTGTTTGATATCTTAGCCAATTATGGTCCGATGTCGGTGAAATTCACACACACATAAGAATTCACATTTAAGAGTAAGCTTTGTAAGTGGCATTAAAAAAATTCAAATAGTTTGGCCGTTATAGGCAAACAATGAAATTAGGACCGCTGTGCATTTTGCCCTTCCGCCATATGCCCAATTTTGGGATTTCTCTTGCCCCCTTCTGGGAATCACTAGTCACATCCCTTAAGTTCAAAACGCATTTTTTGTTTTTTCAAATATCTTAATTTTTAACAATGTTATAAAGAATTTAGTGTTTGAACATTTAACAAATTCAATTTTTCGACCTTCGTCGCCTCAAAATACTAAACAAATTTCAATCGTCCATACCGCGAGAACGGTGCATCGGATCAAAATTTCTCAAGAGACATAAAAATTAGCATTTTTCCTAAGCTTTCAAATGTGGTAAACTGCGTTTTAAAAATATTGATTTATTTCCGACATGCGCCTGCGCAAAATTGAAAAATTGACAAAATCCAAAATTTCGGCACTTTCGAAAAACTGCTACATTTTGTTTTGCCTTTTTTTGAAAAGATCACCTCAAAATACATAGAATCCATTTTGTTTCATCTAATTACAATTTAATGTAAGCTCAAAACCCGTAATTTAATTCGATTAAAAACTACACAGAAATTGTTGAACATGTTGTCCATTTATATCTAAATACAAACCAAATCTTCTCTACAATCCAGCAAAAAAAAAAGAAATAAGGATTTTCAGTTGACCACCACCTCATATTTTGCGAGTTAACATATCCAGAAAGAAAAAAACGAAGCCTAAAAATCGTACTAATAGCTAAATCAATTTTTTCTACACCCACATGGATATTAGCTAATCTATACACAAACGAATATATTTCATATCCATTCTAGGTAGTGAGAACACTGAAAATAAATTAAATCCACCATATTTTGGACACACAAGTACTATTATTTTTAAAATTTTAAATAATTGTCAGTATATTTTTTAGTTATTGAGATTAAATATACATTAAAATGAGTTATTTTTGTGTAGAATCGATAAATAACAGCATTTTTATTTTTATTTAGTCCTCTTTTTGATAAAAAATAAATAAATTTTAATCAAACTATATGAAACTAATTTAATTATAAAATCGTAAAAGCTAAAAGAGTTATCTTTACTTTTCGAAACACTAAAGTATATATGAAACGGATTCGATTTTTTTTTTAAGAAAAAAAGCTTCCTCTTACCAGTATCAGTCACCGGAGCCAGGTTAGTCTTAAACGAAGCATTGGTCAAATTGATAATCTTCAAAGTATTTTCCAACGCTACGATCTCCTTTTCCGTGGTTTTGATCTTGTTGTCCAGCGTATCGCCTTCTTCCTGCAAAAAGAACTTCTCCTGTGCGTTCTTGATCTTGATGGTAGCCAAAGTCAGAGGCTGGCCGTCGTCGTCTTTCCCTAAGCCGGAGATGGCCAGATCGTATTTTTTCTGGTACTGTTCGATTCTCAACTTTCTGACGGCCACGTCTCCTCTCAGTCGGCCCTTGTCCTCTTCGAGGCTGCGCTTTTTGATCAACAGGATTTGCTTTTGGGCGTTGATTTCTATTTGTCTCTCTTTCATCGCCTAAAATTATCAATCAAGAAATATAATCTTGGTAAAGTTGAGCTTGCGAGAACCACAGAGGCATGAGGCATTGTAAAAACAAACATATTTTTAACCAGAAATACTCGTAAAAACTGAATACGCTTCTGTGCAAGCACGAGCTCTTAGTAATAAAATTTTATTTAAGACTTGTCACCCGTGACGGCAACTTTCATACAGGTGTCCAAACAGTTACATCATCCAATATCACGTGACGTAATAAAAATTGGCCTGATCCTAGAAGGATCTGACTGAACAAGTCAAGTCACCGGCTTCACAAGAAATAATCGTCTTTGAGAAATATTTTTTTAAATCATTTCATTGCTATCTTTCAACTAGCTCACTTCGACATGAATTAAGAAATTGCCGTAATGAGACAAAGATAATTTAATAAATATTGTAAGCACATTGTACAACAATCTACAAAAAATGAAATAAACAATTTTGTGTACTTTAATATTCTTGAGCCGAGAACATTTATTTTAAACCTTCTACAAGACTCAGAGACCTCCTCTACACTTCAGGAATCATTGGGTAAAACCGCAAAAATAGGTACATCATAACGAACCAGCGAATGGAAAAATTTACCTCTTTGTAGGCATAACTGATGAGTTTTTACATTTGATATTACGTTATTTTATAAACAAAGTGGCCTAAAATTTGTTGGACCCACACATGAAAGTATGACACTGTTTGGTCCTAGGGAAAATAGTGTCTGATATTGTACTACTTTAATTAGTTACAAATGTAATATCTAGTTTGAAAGTTGTCTTTTTGTATGAAGGAATCAACGTGCATTATATGCTCTTAAATTAGGATTAGGCAAAAGAAATACCTAGGAAATCTTTCTTTAGCATAACTAAAAATTCCAAATAAGATTAAACGCAAATAACGTCAAACAAATTTCCACTCTACCTGTTCGAGATTAAGCCTCAACTTTTCCAAATTAAATATGTGTTTCTCTTCCTTTTGCTTATCCTTTTCGATATGGCTGATTCTCAATTTCATCATATTCTCTTCCACCTGTTTCTCTTGCAAAGACTTTTTGGCGGCGATAATTTGTTTCTTGCTTATATCGAATATGAGCAAGTAGTTTTCGCACTTATTTTGCAAACTTTCAAGTACGTCTTTGTCCGCCGTTAAGACGACTGCCAGTCGACGCATCTCTTCGCGCAGTCTATCCACTTGGCTTTGCAGCGAATGTTGAACCTACAAATGATAAAAATGGCTTGAAAATGGATTATTTTCGAAAAATGAATTTTTGGAGTCACGCCATACATTTGACTTGAAGTTTCACGCATGTTTTTGAAAAAATAACGGCGCATGACAAATATTATAATGCTGTACAAATATTCTAATGGATAAAAAACGGATTATACAGAGGTGTTTTAAGAATTGAGGTTTCACGCATGTTTTTGAAAAAATGACGGCAGATGACAAATATTATAATGCTGTACAAATATTCTGATGGACAAAAAAAGGATTGTACAGATCCGTTTTAACAATTGAATTATTCAAAGGGGATTTGAAATAATCGTGTTAAAACGGGTTGAAGTAATATGTCAAAGAGTTTGAATTTAACAAACTGTTAAACATTCAAGATTTTGAAGAGGAATTTTTCAAACAACGCAAATTCGTAGAAACCCCGATTATTTAAAAACAAGTTCATTGTTTGATACGTACCTCTCTGTGTTCCGCCAGTGATTTTTCCAAATCTTGAATCTTCATTTGTATTTCTTCTGGAACTTCCTGCTTTTGCGCTTCTGCCATTTCCAGTAATTTTCTTTCGCATTCGTCTATTCTGTATTCCTAAAATAGTTGCAATAGCATTAAATTAAAAAAAATTGCATATTATTTTAATGTTATTATTATTAACAATATTATATCTTACCATTTCGTAGACGACCACTTTAATTTTGTCCAAATCTTTTCTTTCAATATTGATAAGTTTTCTCAATTGATTCGAAGTGCAGACCGACAAATTAATTTCAATTTCCAAGTTGCTCGCTATAGAGACTTGGTCTTTCAGTAGTTGCTCAGATCTAAAGATTTCCCCATTAATTTTCTCTATATCTATTAGTCGCTGGTTGTAAGCCATTTCTTCCTAAAATCAAAAACATTAACATAATGCAACGAAAATGTATCGTAAGAAATACATATATAACAAAATAAGAAACAATAGATGAAAAAAATACCCAAAATTTTGATTGATGGAAAACATATATACCAATCAAACTATTTGAATAAGGGAGTTCCTCAAGGATGTATATTAGGTATTATTATTTGGTATACGAGTATATGATGAATTTAAAAACGAACTACTATCATAAAATTATCAACTTACGTGCGAGATCATGTTCTCCATATTGTTGACTCTCTGCTCGGACGTCATGGCGGAATTTCTGACCTCCTCGAGTTTTTCGTTTAGTTTGATCAAATTATCCGAAAATTCTTGACAGAAATTTTTCTTCTCCTCGTATAGTTCCTCAAGTCTTTTGTATTTGATACGTTCGTTGTTCAAATCGAGGGCTACTTTACCCATTTGCCGTTTGAGGGCTTGGAGCTGTAATATAACAATAAAATGTATTAATAAAGCCGCTATTTCAGTATATTTTAGGGTAGCCCCATTTATAGATACAATTTCTTTCAAATATAGGGTACAAAATAATCTTTTAAAAGAGTGGCGAAGCTTCCAAAATATTGTCAGCTAATATATTTTTTTATTTGAAATAATATCAATAAGAGCTCTTATAATAAATTGAATATCTTAATTAATTTATTCAAATAATTAAATTCAGTTTCAATTATTTAAATGTTTATTTGTCGAGCTCTATAAGAGTTACTATGCTACAAAATAGAAATATTTCAACAGCGCTATAATGCAGTGATTCTCACTACATCTTGAACGACTCGTGGGGCGTGCCGAGGTCAGCGACCTTTCCGGTCGTGATTTCGCGTTTCTAGTCCACTCTCCGGTGTTTTAGCTGGTGAGTGATGCGGTCTCTTAAACGCATCTCGGCGAATGTAAGTATCGTAATCGCGTTCGTCCCCTTCATTTGAAGAAAATGTAAAATGTTTTCGCAAATCTGCACATTAAAGAAGGATTGATCTTAATTTTTAAAATTTAAAATTAACAGATACAGTCCACATTTTTGTAAACTATCCTACTTTAATTTAGTTCACTCTTCTGTATCTGTAACGTGTGGAGGGTGGGTTACCCCACGGCACTTAGGCCTCATTAGGCCCATTGTGCATCCTCCTGAGAAGATAGGCACTTCCTAGCTCATGAGCCAGCCTACAGATTTAATGTGGTTGACAACGTCGCCAAGAGGTGCTCTTATATCGGCCGGTGTTAGCCGATACTCGCCGAACACAAATCTTCTAATAAATGAGAGCATCGAGCAATCGTAAAAGATATGCTCGATGGTCTCATCTTCTTGTTCGCACCCTCTGCAGAGTGCGGATTCTGACAGCCCCATGATATGGAGATGCTTTCCTACTTGGCAATGACCAGTCAGAATGCCTGTGACTAGGCGCAGATTCTGTCTAGTCATAGTCAAGTATTTGTTTGCTGCAGTGTTGTCAGGATAACTTAAGAGCTCCCTGGCAACTCTGCAGTTTCTTGTTTCATCCCATCTTTCCTTGAATTTCACAAGGGAATGTTCTTTGATTAGGTCTGTCACTACCGATTTTGTCAGGCCAATAGAAGGGCCAGGTTCAAAAAGTATTTGGTTGGCTGCTTTCTTGGCTAGTGAATCAGCAAGACAACAAGACGGTTACCTTTCGATGTGGCGTAACTTTTAATCCATCTTAAGGTGACCACGTTGTTGATGGATACTTCGGCCAAAGCTTCGTGACATTCTAGTACTAACCCTGAATAAATTCGTGGTCTGTTCAGGGTGAATAGTGCTTGTCTGATATCTGTATAGATGAGCATGTTCCTTCCAGTGATATTGTTTCTGGTTATTTCTTTTGTTGCTATGAGAATCCCCGTTAGCTCTGTTTGAACTACTGGCACTATTGCTCACAGTCCATTTTATGTTTAGGTTTAAGAATCTGGAGTATATTCCACATCCTGAGCCTTGTTTTGTTTTAGAACCGTCGGTGTAGATATGAATCGTACCTGCCACTTCCGGCTCTTCTATTTGTTCTATTATAACTTTATATGGCTTATGAAAGATATATTTCGGTGAGATGGAGTCCATGTTCGCTTGAAGCAGTGGGAGCGTATCCAGCGCCTCCTGCCAAAGTGAAGTCTCGCCTCACTAGATCCTACATCACGTTCTATTCCGACCGTGCGGAGGCATGTCATTGTCATCAGAGCAACCTCCTTGATGTAAATATTAAGGGGAGTGAGACTAAGAATGACTTTCATAGCTCTAGTCGGTGTTGTTTTCATGGCTCCTGTTATGTTGAGATATGTTGTTCTTTGAATTTCTTCTAGTTTACGGATAGCTGTTAATTTTTGGGTTTTCGGTACCCAGACAACTGCACCATATGTTAGCATAGGTCTTATGATAGCCATGTAAGTCCATGCGACGACTCTGGGGGAGAAACCCCAGGTGCGCCCCACGGTTCGGCGGCATTGTTCATGAGCAATGTATGCTCTTTTACCTCTGTTTTATTTTGAATATTTTTTTAACTTGCCATATTTTTTTGTATACTTTATTTATAAGTCAAAAATTAAGGACTTTAATACAAAAAGCTTGATTGTTTTTACAAAATGAGAATCGCAGTTTAAAATACACAAATAATTAATTTAAAAATAATTTCCCAAATGGTGCTTCGCGAGCATTATAAAGAGGATAAATATTGTAATGACGGAATTTTAAATCTTAAATATCGCAACTTGTACGATCTCGAGCTTTTATTTCTGTCAATCGAACCAACTGGGACTTTTTATTTTTTCTAAATTAAATGATTTTATCGTGACAAGTCCCAGGTGTGTCATCATTTTCAAAGTACATGAAGCCATGCTAAAAAAGTTCATGTTTTGAATTCAATGCAGAGCCGTGCGGATATTTTTTCTGCCTCACCACATGGAAACAAAATTATTTAACCCTGAAAACTATTGTACGGCAAGAAGAGCCGCGTGCCGGACACCGGTATTTTGTACCTGCCCTGATTAAATATCTGCAGATGAATGTCCAAAGTAAACGTACTCGAGTACGAATGTGTTGGTTCTATTATCAAAAAATGTCAATTAACTTAACAAAAATGATAAAAGAGATATTACAGAACATAGAACGTCTCAAACAGCTTCAATTAACAACTTCAATTAACGTTCAATGATTATTTTTTTTAATAAACCTACTATATCGGGAACAAACAATTTCAGATATCTACCTCTTTAACATTACTGGAAAAAGAAAAGCTCATTGTGTCGTTGTTCTCTGACAATTCCCTAAAAGCTGTTTTGATCTTTAATGTGACTTTTGGCTCAGTGTAAGAAATGAATCCTGATTTGGACGGCATAATTATTTACGAACCAAGTGCGAGCAGACTATATGTTAGCGCATAAGCACATTTAGAACTATGAATGGCTAAATGTGATCTAAAGCAAGCTTTCCTACATCAGTTCTTTGTTCTACCAAATCACACAGGCATATACTGAGGGTTCTGTACTTGAAGTTCTATGTTATTGTACTCATCTTATATTAATTCTTTTTTGTAGCTTAAGCGATCACTTTATATTTAATAATGTTTGTAAATGTTTTACGATTATGTTTCAGTTTTTTGTTATGAACAGTTAACTGTTATTCAATATGGAAATTAATATTTTAAAAACAACCCAATTTTACTGTTTAATTCCGGTTTTTAGAAACAGTTCGCAAGGAGAATAAGTTTGGGATCCTCTATCCGCTGGTTTAAAATATACAAATGATCATTTAAAATACACAAATAATCGTTTAAAATATACACAAATCGTTTAATGTGAACAAATAATCATTAAAAATAATTATAATTAAATTTGATTTAACTTTGAGAAAATATACGGTTCTCTGTTTATTCTACGCAATTTTTTTTATGTAAATATTTAAAAGTTCTGATAGTGCTCATGTATGGGTGTTTTCCTACCACTTCGGAGATACAATTTTTTAAACGATGGTTATTCGCGATTCAGATTAATTTTAGCGCGTCTGTCATTTGTCACCTATAAGTAAGATATTTGTTTATTAACATTGTGTGCGTTTTGAGCGGGATTTTGTATTTGTAAGTTTTTAACTGTTTTTAGATGTAAAAAATCAGTATAATAAATTTAAAAGATTAAAACAGTTAATATAAACAAGATACCTTAATATGAACCAAAATCTTCACTTTTACGAAATGCAAGAACACCCTCGCTTTGAGGTAAAAGGTTCTTTCGAATTTTAGAATAGAAGTCCACCGTTTTCGCATGTCTCTCATAATTACCCATTTTAGTATTAATAAGTGCTTTACGGTTAGCCTTCTTTGGAAAATGATGAAATGAACTAAACGGCTCCGTTTTTATTTAAAAGTACAACCTTTATTACAGCAATATAGATACAATTTTCGCAAATTTCATTTTTTATAATAAATACTATTACAGTTATCATACACTCTAATAAATAAAAAAAATGTAATGCTCACAAACAAGAAAATTTCAAATTGATAAAAATTACTATCGGTGACAACAGTCAACACAACAAGGCCAGTGTTGTCAACTGATAAACTGATTTTAAAACAAAATTGATAAATGAACTGAAATTTAAAAAATCCCCACTCTACCCTACTTTACCCCATTCCGCCCCACTCTACCCAACTCTACTCCACCCGCTCTACCTCACTTCACTCTACCACACTCCACTTCACAGTACTCCATTTGCTCCCCTTCGCTCCATCTCCACTCCAATTCACTCTGCTCCGATCCGCTCTCCACTCCAATTCACTCTACTCCGCTCCTCTGCGCTCTCCACTCCTATCCCTCTCCGCCTTGTATATTTTAAACAGATAAATCTACTGAAGTAGCGGAATTTCGCTACTGCAGGCAACACTGAAAAAAGTCCTACTTGTAGACACCTTTTACAAATTTTCTTCAGAGGGCGCATCGCTTAGCTTGAATAGCGAATAGGATTTTTTTGTTAAAATAGACGTTGCTTCTATCATAAATTGTTTACCAACATTTTCACACTCCATAGGCGAGTTCGGATAATCAGGGGCTGGAGCGGGACAATTTTTAGGGTGCTTTTAAATGACATTTAAGCGTGTTAAACTGTCACTAATCGGACTAAACCGAACGCTAAAAGGGTCGTTTGGAGTAAAAAGTGTTAAAGGAACTTGGCAGATAAATAAAAATCTTCAACAAAAACGATTTATTTTTAAACATACATTAAAATTTTTTCATCTGTATAACAAAATTTATATGTATAAGTATAAAGTGTAAATTTTAATTAAAAATTACAGGTACATTGCAAATTCACTCCGTACAAAGCCTTAATTGGATTTTATTAAATAAAAATTCCGACATCTAAGATTATTGGTTTTTTTTTGTGTACGAGTAAAAAATAATAAATTTATTACAAACTGTTTGTTTTATTGGTA